ATAGATAGATAGATAGATAGATAGATAGATAGATAGATAGATAGATAGATGGATATATGTACATATATCTATATATACATACATGTTCATAGCACACTTTTAAGTATAATCTGTATTATTAATAGTTTTTCATCACTTTCTCAAGTCTAGACAATCAACAAAATAACAAATAAGCTCTGATTTTCATGTTTGCTGATTTCTAAAGCGTAAATGCTTATGTTACAAATTTAGCAATAGGCATGAGCCCTAAGAACTGGCTCTAGCACACCCCTCCAACTAAGCCTTAACAGACAGCATTTGGGACTTGTTGAGGGTAAAAGATTCATTGCCTTGTAGCAAGCCTTTTCATTCTGACCTACGTTGGTCCTCAGATTCCAGCCATCCATTGTCTACTGGGCTAGTCCTCAAAGTCTCTCTTTTTAGCTGACCTAGGCTTTGAGAAGTGATGTTTACCTTCACAGCACCCACTCATTAGAGGAAGATTTTCATGGAGGATTGAGAATATTAAATGATGTATATTTGTCATAGGAGTTTAGAGGATATTAATGTATAACATGAGCAAGTAAACTAACAAATTTACAGTTTTACTCTTTCAATAAATATTTATTGAGTGTGTACAAGATCTGATGAGAAGTATTGTGAGGTATAAGGAATGAATGAGCCATTTGCCCAAGGGTTTATAGTTTATTAGAGGACTATGTGTGTGTATATGTGTATTTGTGTGTGTGTGTGTGTGTGTGTGTGTGTAATCACAAATACAAGGCAGTATGTGATGAGGGCTTTAAGAAAAGAATAGAGAAATATAGAAATTTACTGAAGGCGAAGTCACTTTCAGCTGGGGTGGACAGAGAAGATTTCACGGAAAAAACCTTCTTGGGCCTTATGTAGGCCTAAAAGAATGGGCAATATTTCCACAGTCAGAGATGGAGGAGAAGAGTATATGTAGAGGAGAGAAATCATAAGTAACTATCACTTACTCTAAGAATTCTTCCCTGATTTCACTTTGCCCCCTCCCAGATGAAAGTGATTTCTCCTTCCTAGCATTTCTCATAAAAGCTTTGCATGCCGAAGTTTTTCTTTTAACTTTTAATTCCTCATATCCTTGTGCATCTTTGTATTTTTCCATCTATACAAGTAAAATTGATAATCTCTGAAGGCAGGGACTGCATAATTTTTCATCTTTGTATATACAATCTGAAGTAATACTCCATTGCAGTTCTGGAGTATATTCAATACTTAGGAGTCTGTGTATACATTAAGCCTTTGATGAACTTTTATTGAAAGTGCAGGATGTGTTTAGGGAACTATGAGTAGCCCATAGGGTTCACACTGGGCCATGTTAAAATAAGGCTGTATAGGCAGACTGATATCAGATAATGGAGGACACTTAATGCTATTTATTTGTTGTGCAAATGTATTATATAGGTAAGTAAGCAGTGAATCTGCATGGGCTCCTTTTGTAGGCAGAGGGTAGGTGTTTAAAATTAAGTTGTAGTGAGAGGCAGGGAATAGAGAGGAATCATCAGCAATAACAGGGCCACGGATTTACAACTAAGATGTGTGTGTGTGTGTGCGCGCGCGTGAGTGTGCATGTGTGTGTGTGTGTGTGTGTGTGTGTAAGAATAATACAAATGAAGGTCTGTATAAATAGCCCAATGGAGGAGTGAGAAAAATAACAAGGCAAATAGTCAGGAGAGAAAAGTAACTAAAGACCTAGGTGACTGCCTTTTCATGGTGTGGTTGGGGCTGAGCCCTGGGTTCTTAGAGGCGTGCCATAGGAGCACACGCGGATGGTAGGTTCCATTCAGCTGGAAAAGCTCTGAGTACAAGCCATGATGGACTTTGTTTACGTTGCCCAGGGACAAGCCTAGCAAAGTTCAGAGAGGCTCATCATCTATTTAGCCTCAGCAACTCTCAAAGACCATCTGCTAATTTGTAGAGCAGCCGTATCTACACTGTTGAAGGGGAAAATACTCACACCTATGAAATCTCAGATCCTAAAAACATCCTTAAAATCCCAACACCATCTTGATCCTCAATCCTTCTGTTTCTGTAACAGCTGAAAAACTTCAGAGTTTCATTACCTTATACATCCTAGAGGTAGTCGATAAATATGGTGAAATTAAGCACATTTATTCATTCATTCAATGAACAAATAGATACTAAGGCCTACTGTGTATAGAGCATTGTTCTGAACATTGGGGAGGGAGGTTTCTTAGTTTAGATAAGGCACTGTTCTTCCCCTTTCGGAGTTTACAATCTAGCAATATTTAATTTTAAAAGCTTGAACAAAAGTCACCGTATCTATGATCTGCGAACTCCACAAGGTTACCGACTGTGTTTTGCTTCCTTTTATATCCCCAGCACTCAGCACAGTGCCTGGCATGCAGCAGGCGCTTAATAAATGTTGATTTCAATAATGTAGGTGAGGAAACTCTCTCTGCTAACATAGATGGGCATCCGCTCTGCAACTTAAAATCTTAGATAGTTTTGTCTGGGACGCTAAAAGTTTAAGTGACTTGTCAAGAGTGCTACAGCCAGCATGAATATTTAGAGGAATAAATGGGTACTACAGATCATATGGCACGTTGATGAGAATATTTGCTTTTGCATAAGTTATAGGTTAGTAGGATCACTGGATCAAAGATCTACAGTTGGAGGGAAGCTCAGAGGCCTTTTAGTCCAATCTCCTCATTTTACAGTGAGGAAACTGAGGCCCAGGAAGATTAAGTGACTTGCCAAGACTACTCATGTAGTAAGTGACAATGTCAGGAGTTGAACCCAGAACTTCTGAGGCTTTTCAGTTTACTACAATGCCTCTCTGAAAAATAAAAATTTACCTTATTCACCTCTCCTTATAGTACACCAGAAAATCCCAGGTGCCCCTTGGTTTCTACAATTGTTATAATTCCTGAAGGAGCAGCTGCTACATTTGTCGTACAGTTGAGGGTAACTGCCACCAAACCTCCTTTACACCGTAACATAATACTCTCAATCATTCAGTCACTAAGTAAAGTAGCACTTATTAAGAACCTACTATGTGCCAGATACGGTGCTAAATGCTGGGGACACGAAAAAGGCAAAAAATAATCCCTGTTCTCAAGCAGCTCACAGTCTACTGGGGGAGACAGCATACAAACAACTACATGCAAACAAGCTATATATTGGATAAATTGGGGTAATCTCAGAGGGAAGGGGAAGGGGTATTAAGCATTTATATGGCACCTACTATGTGCTTAGTGCTTTTTACAAATATTATCTTATTTGAATCTCACAACAACCCTATTGTCAGAGGAAAGGCTTCTTGAAGAAGGTGGGGTTTTGATTGACTTGAAGGAAGCCAGGGATGCTGGGAAACAGAGAGGAGAAAGGAGAGTGTTCCCCCCAGCCAGGGTGGAGAGGGCGGGGGAGACAGCCAGTGAAAATGCCTGGAGATGAGGGATGGAGAGTCATGTGTAAGGAATGGCAAGGAGACCAGTGTCACTGCATCACAGAGCACACAGAGCGAAGTAAGGTGTAGAGGACCGGCAAAGTGGAAAGAGCCTCTCCTAGAAAATTAAGGCAGTTTTCAGATTTTCAAGAATAGTCCATTGAGCTTGGTGAAGTGAGGAAAAAGAGCTATGACACTTTTCCTCCCTGTTTATAAATGGAAGGACAAAATTAATGCTTTATTTCTCTTTTAGCAGCAAGTGCCAGAAGGATACATATTTTAAACATTTTGGGAGATTCACTTCAACCTACCTCCTTGGCAACAACGAGGCAACCCAGACGCCTAAGGCTCCTTTGGCTGGGGCTTGGCTGATAGGTGCGACATGAAGGAAAATTTAATGAGGGGCCAGGCTGTTCATTCTGCCCAGTCATTCCCAGAAGTTGGAGCTAATAGAGTGAGAGTCTGGCTGAATTCCAATGACCCAGAGTGTCGGGAGTGGACAAGAGAGCCAATAAGACTTCATAAGTCCAAAGACCTATGGTTTTAGATGTGTGAGCATCTACACTTTACGGGTGTAGATCACAGTCCCTTAGGAGTTGCTGTGCAAATGGACCAGGGCTTGCCTTTTGCTTACAAGGCCTTCATGAGGAAACTGTGGTTGGGGGGTAACACTTGTAATCATCAGAGGTGGGATTTGAACCCAGGTCCCATGACAACAGACACTAGTCAGGGCTCTTTTTAATGTTCTGTAGCATTCTTATTTCAACAACATCAGGGACTTGCTTTCTGCATTGCCACAGACTTGATGCTACAAGTCTTTCATTATCATCTGATGTCATTTTCAAATCAAATTGCCTTGAGTCCTACCTAGTAAAACAGGAGCCTATAAGGCTGATGACCTAGAAAAATCTCTGTTCCCATTTGCCAAGAATGGAGGTGGTAAGGTTGCCAGAGAGGAGGGACTGTTGAGACAGGCAAGGTCTGGTGGTATCCCAGTACATGAACCTAAGGGTCAGTTCGCACTCAATCAGTTTTCAGGTCATCACAGCAATTTTTGATCTACAGTGGGGTTTTCAGAAGTCCTCTGAGAGCAAAAGGAAGGTTATGACCTTCATCCTTCTGCACCCACTCCCTCCCTCCAAAAAAAAAATCCATGACCAAAACACCATACATACACACACATAAATCATACATAAACTGGGAGCAGCTAGTTGGCTCAGTGGATAGAGCTCTGACCCTGGAGCCAGAAGGATCTGAGTTCAAATCTGACCTGACGCTTAACACTTACTAGCTGTGTTACCCTGGGCAAGTCACTTAACCCCATTGCCTAGCCAAAAAAAAAAAAAAGAAGAAAAAAAAAAGGAAAACTGAATAAAGAAATACAAGTCAAAATATGAAAGAGGATCTCTTACTTCTCCCTGCAAGCTTGAGCAGCTTCATTCCAGGTGACCTTTTGCTCTGTAATCAAGGAGTAGCAGTGGCTATTTTGAGGGCTCCATCCAGTGGGACAGGTTCTTTCATTCCCTTCCTGAAATGAATGGTCAGTGTTCACACAGTCATGCCCTTTACAATCTACAATCATCTCTTGGCAGGAGGAAAGCCCTCTGCTCATTTATTTATTTAAATAGTAGACAGTACGCTAATTCTTCACCTTTAGGAAGGTGGTCTTCTACAAAAACAACATCAAATTCAGCAGTATTTTATAGGTTATAGCTTTTCTCCTCTGGTTGTTTTTATCACCAATATAGAAGTTTAAATGTGTATTTAATCAATTAATGAGTGAATTACTGAAAAACACTTTAGGGGAAGTAATTTTCCCATTGGAACACACGGTCTCCTTTTTTTTTAATCTGATTAATTTAACTCAGTTATCTCCTATATGCAACTTTCTCCAAAATCCTGCTAGGACAATCTTCACTCTGGTCTTCACAGGAGATTTTGTTCTGAATCTGACAGACTGGTCATGTAAGAGTGTACTTTATAACTGTATTTGTGCGTTATTTCTTCTCTAAGTACCAGGAGGGCAGAAATCATACTTCATTTAATCTTCATGTCTTCCCCAGTGCCTAACACAGTGTTTGGCATAGGGTGAGTTTTTAATGAATGTTTGTTAAATGAATGAATGGTCACATAATCTTTGACACTAAATGTTGACATTGTCTACCATATTAATGCCTTTCCCTGCACCATCTCCCGTCCCCACCAAACACAGGCTTCCAAAGCAGATTTAAGCAAGAACATTCTTCAGCTAAGCATGCATCCCACCTTGTCTTTTGGACTCCATGGCTTCCATGAAGTTCCATTGCAGTGATATAATTTTTGGAGACTTTCCTCAAAGTGAAAGAGTCCTTTTAATGCTAATGTGCAGTTCTTTGGAAAGGATGGTGACTGGTCCTATGATGACAAAAGAAGGTGGGAATGGACTTAGCTGTAGGACCATTACTTTACAAGACCATAAGACATCAATCCTCCCTCTGGTTTGTATGTCTTTATGTTAAATAAATTGCACCAAATCTTGGGACCAGTCTAGAAACTTACAGGTGTCAATGACAACAAATAGTTTGTCAAAAGCTTAATGAAAAGTCATAAATGATTCCTACCTGACTGGGGGACTGTAAATTGGGCATTCTTTCCATCTTATCTGCCTGTAGTGGTTCTATTTTCCTGCTTTTCTTTTGTGGTCTCTGATTAATGATAGATTCTCTGGGCTTCTCCATGTTTATCGTAGATCTCTCATCCTCTACTTTTAGAGCAACCATACCATGGTACTTAACATTAAGACAGAAACAACAAAAGTCAGACAAGACCCCCCCCAAATTAGCTACTTTTTATTTGGTCAAAAGCAAAAAAAAAAGTCATTTTTTTTATTCTGACTACTGAACATTACAAGATAAAACTCAAAAAAGTCCTCCAATGAAAATGCATCTAGACAAAATAAAGGAAATGATAGCTGCATGAAACAATCTCTACTCCTAAGCATAATCATACCATCACATATAACATATAACCAAGTGTAGAATGGAATAATTCTTTCAGAGAATTCTTACTCTAAAAACGATGTCTGTTTCATTTCTATAAACAGATGATGGGTGAACCTGAAAAGAACAGACAGTAAAATAACATTAGAGTTTTCTTTCCAGTGGCATAAAATTGGGTTGGGACAATAACGATTATCAGAGCTTTAGAGTAATAGGAAGCATTAGAGGTTGGCTAGTTCAACTGCCCTATTTGAAAGATGATTGAGAGGTTCATAGGAGGTAACTGACTTGCCCAAGACCATATAGGTGGTGACAGAATGGGGCTTTGAGCCCAGACCCTCTGACTTCAAATGTAATACTCTTCTCATTGCACAACTAAGAAAAACTTGAAAGTTAAAACTTACTTGGGCTTGAAAAAAATTTAAAGAAGTGTGTTTCTAATCTAAAGACATGTTAAATCTACCAAATTCATTAGAATTTTTTAAAAATCAGAGGGGATCTAGATCTATAAACAATTGATTAATTCTCTGTTTCTTTGCATTCCCCTAATGAGAAAAAGAAAACGTGTTTTGTAGCTTAGTTTGTAGAACATATATAAATCCACACATATGGATATGACAATGTGACCAGTTAGCTCGGTCAGAGTGAAAGCACTATATATACCCCTAGCATTCAAACTTATAGGCTTGAGACCACTGTGAGTACGATAGTGTGCCTCTGGCTTCATGACAACGGATTGTACCTCTGTCTTGAAAATACATTCCCTTAATCAAGAGGAGCCAAGTACAGGACTATGAATGACAAAACGCAAGTCAATCACCATTGCTGGGGGAAGAAAAAGACTTGAAGCCCAAAGTTGGGAAATGATATACCACTTGGATAAGGACAGTACTATGCCAAGGAGACCATTAGGAGACCCTTAAAAGACCACCCCCATAAGATTTGGAATACCTCATTTAATTGTTTCAGGAAAGTTAAGAATATTTTGGTTCTTTAGTAAAATCCTGTCAATAACATCCCAGATAATTGTCCATCTTATTTCTAAATTGCATGGGGTTCTTACTGTTTTGCCATTTCCTACCGTCCTAAGCCTTTTCCTGGGAATATCAGTTAAGTCAAAGTCCTGAAGCTTGTCCCCTCTGCTGGGTGTTATCCCCTCTTTGGAAGATGAAGGGTATCTTCCTTCCAAATGGATCCCATCAAGAATGGAGGGTGATGATGAGCCTGGGGAAAGTGGGAGCCACATGCCTTTCCCCCATGAGTTGTACTGGATTTGGCCAGAGGAATGTGAATGGTGGCACCGACCTGAAATCACACAAGATGGCAGATGGTCAGTTTTGTTCATTTTACGTAAGCAGATAACTGATCTCATGGAACAGCTTATCACTAAAAGTGGATGGATGAGTTTTCTACCAGATGTTACCTGTTTGTCATTTGCCAGTAACTCCTTCCTTTTCTATCAGTTTCTCTCCAGGAGAGCCGTGCACTTCAGCTCATGGAAAGTGTGACTATTGAGTAATAAGAATGAGTATACATATAGCAAAACTGGTTTCACTTTTTAAAGTTCAGCCCTCTAAGAATCTGGAAAAAACTTGCATCTCTCTTTTATTGTTAAAGTATTTCTGAATACCTCTTTTTGTTAATTGCCATTCCAAAGACAATGCATACTACCGACACTCCTCCCTGATGCCATGCAACAGAAACAGAGATTGCTTAGAGATTTTGTAAGACCATGAAACCATTCCTTTCTGTATGGTTCAATAGTCACTATTACAACAAAAATGCCAAATCCAAAAGACACTACTTCTGTCTGAAGCCCAAAAAGCTTTTTTTTTTTTTAAACAGATATCTGGGGAAATAAGTGTCTAAAAGTCTAAGGTCAAAATATTTTCCTTGAGGGTGTTTCATGCTTCATGTGGGGAGTCTCAGGTTTATAAAAATCCTCCTGAGAAAGAAATTAATTTAGAAATGTTGTGGGCATATTATGAAGGAAAAAGAGCAGTGTCTGATTTCCTTCCTTTTCTCCTTCCATTTTGTTTCCTTTCTTTTTTTCTTGCTTCTTTACTCTCTCCCTTTCTGTCCTTCCTTCCTTTCCTTCTTCCTTTCTTTCATCATCTCTTCCTTTCTGAATTAAAAGGAGAGAACAAGAGCTAGAGACACTATTTTTATTGTATTTCAGGACACTGGTTATAAGTAAGAGGGAGGTAAAAACTGGGGTACACAAATGGAAAGGAGAACTGAGGATATTAGATATTAACAGAGTCTCTGAAATGTGGTGAGCCATCTACTGAGATGCTTGTCAGGGAAAATAAAAAGGCTTGAACACCAAAGGCTGACATGATTCTTCACATTATTTGGTTCTACAGGCTATTCTGCAGTGTATGCCACACAGAACCTAGTTGGCTCGGGTGGGCCCAAGGTAATTCATTAATATTCTCCAGCTGCTCCTGGATTCCCAAGCCAGCTGCATCTTTCATTTGTAATTTTCTTCAACTGCTTCCTCTCGTGATTTTCCTGGTCCTGCTGTAATATGGGCTGGGGTTTTAGGCATTCAGAGATCTCTTTGACAGAGGAGGATAATTACAGCTCTGCGATCTCTAGGGGAAAATAATTATCGATAGATTTTTCAATGACATTTTTTTTGTCCCCTCTGAGAAAATAGAAAAAGGGTAGGAGGAGAAAACACACACACACACACACACACACACACACCAACAACAACCCTGTTCTGACTTGTTGCTTTTCTCCAGCAAAAGTTCTTAGCAGGAGGAAAACAGCATGAAGTTGATGCCAGGATAAAGGGCCTACCATGGCCCAGGTTGCTTTCTTGACAAGAAATTAAGCATTTTGATTTGAAGGCGTTATCAAGCACATTGGCTGTTGAAAGCTAAGTGGACTGCAGAGCCAAGACTGCCCCTGATTTCAAGATGAGAATCAAAAGAATACCTCCTTTTGAGTCCACAATTTTCACTCTGGCTTTTGTCTTTGTGCCAAGAACAGCATTCACAGGGGAGTTGAGAATTACTTCAAAGACCTCATCATCTTCTTCTAATCCATCGTAGGTAATTGCTATATTCCACATCTTAGTTGACATTCCTACAAGAAGTAAACATTTTAATTACTCTTTAATTGCTATTTCAATCAACCTAGGTGTCAGAGAAATATATGAATTAACATGTCTACAGCAAGGCTGGAGTAGCCTGGGTGATCTATTGTGCTCTTCCTGACTGACTGCACTCCTGCTGTTCCCCCAAATAACACTAAAACACATTTGTTCCTGGACAATGGTGATTTCCTATAAAGGCAAACACTGTAACAAAAAGAAAAAAAATTGGCCGCCTTATGTGGGAGAAACAAAATGGTTATCCAACCATATTTGAGGTTCCATTTTCCTGACTGACCTACCTCATTTTCCCTCTTTGGTTGAGAATAAACAAGTATTAAAATCTTAAAATCTTAGTAGTTGCTTTAAAAAAAATCTCAAAATGCTGGTGCCAGAGATAATTAGGATGATGGTTTGGTAGGAGTTTGTGGTATGGGAGGGGGCAGAGAGATCTTGAAATGACTTATTTGTTAAGGGGGCTGTCTCCATGGACACTCTGCCTTGGCTTCCAGCATGTTTCCTAGCCAAGAAATGGTCTCCCTCCCCCTTCCACCATGATGTCATACTTAAGATTTTGATATCCTACTGGAGATAATTTAGGGGGCGTGGTTTCTAGAAATAACCCAAGCCAGTATTTCTCTTTCTCTGTCTGCCTTTGCCTGTGGAGTTACAATTAAGCTCGGCTCCTAGTAATCTTGGGACCTTAATAAAAGCAGCTTTGATGCTCTGAACACAGACCCCCAACCCAGACATGCGGCTGCTGTTATGGTGGGATGAACAGTCATCTCTTCTGGTCTCTGTGGTGCCCCTGTGAAGATGACAAAGGCTTTTTTAGGGAAAGAAGGAACATAGCAAATGCGGAGAGGGAAGAAGACAGCATTTCTCTCTCACCTCTGCCTCTTGGAACCCCTAGCTCCTTTCAAATCTTGTCTTGGGTCACTGACTCCAAAGCACCTTTCCTGATTCTCTCAGTGGTTAATGCCTTCTTCCCTACTCCCTCCTATCACTTAGTGTTTATTTTGCATATAATTTGTTTTTACTTCTCTTTTGGTTTTTTGTTTTTAGGCAATTGGGATTAAGTGACTTGCCCAGGGTCACACAGCTAGTAAGTGTTGTTTTTACTTCTCTATGAATATATTGTATCCTTTCAGTGAAATGTAAGCCTCTGGAGGGTAGGAAGTATCTCATTTTTGTATTCATAACCCCAGTGCCTGGCACATAGTCGGTACTCAACAAACATTAATCGACTGATTCATTAACTCCTTTGTTTTATTCAGTGTTCATTTTGAATAGTTTTCAGCCATAGTTCCCCTTTGGTAGGATGCTTAAATTCTTCTAAGCCTTTTTCCCTAAATAAATCCTCATCTTATATACTCTCCTGGTGCTCAATGTTCTACAGCTCTCTGATTATTCCAGTGTGTTTCACTGGTACCATATTTATGACAGTTACCATGAAGCACCAAATTCTCTGTTAAGGCTTTGCTAATGAGCAGTACAGTATTGGAGAAAAGTAGGATATATCCTTGGCTTCCCATAAAGAAGAAATTAGCTTTGGCATGGGTAGGGGAGAAATTATTTTGTACTTGAAAAATCCTGGCTTATTGCTAACTTGTTATACTCAAGGTGGTAGATGATATCTGAAGTAGATTGTTCCTATGGTATATTCAATTCAATAAGCATTTATCAAACACTTGCTACATTACACCTTGTCCCCCTCATCTTCCCCTATTGAATTTTGAACTATGCTATATTGTCATCTCCCCTTAAGAAGTCCATTGGTAATGACCTTGCCCCTCAGATCTCACAGAGCATTTTTATGTCCTTAATGAACTTATCATGTAATATTATACATTATAGTTAGCTGTGTATATTTTACTAGACTATAAGTTTTATGAAGGCACATGCCATGTGCCTGGCATAGTGCTTGGTATAAATGTTTAATAAGTGTTTTTTGAAAGAATGGATGGTATTGTGTTTGGTGCTCATGTTAGAGAGATGAAAAAATGACAGCATCCCTAACCCTCAGTAGAAAAACACTCTGCCAATCTTAATGGCCTTTTCTCAATCTTCATCCTTCTCGACCTCTCTGAAAACTTTGTCACAGTTAATCACCTTCTCCTCCTGGATTCTCTCTCCTTTCCAAAGTTTCTTGACAAGACTCTCTCCTGATTCTCCCCCTACCTGTCTGATCATTCCTTCCTAATCTCCTTTGCTAGATCTTCATCCAGGTCATATCCACTAACTGTAGGTGTCCCCACAACACTCTGTTCTGGGCTTTCTTTTCTTATCCCACTATACCATCTTGCTAATTGATCACATCAGCTCCTATGGGTTTAATTACCATCTTGATGCAGATGGTTCTTAGATCTATATTTACAGCCCTAGTTTTGCTCTTAAACTCTAATCTTGAATCATCAGCTGTCTTTTAGATATATGAAACTAGAAATCTTAGATCTCAAACTCAACATGTTGAAAATAGAATTCGCTGTCTCTCCCAAACCCTCTTCTTTTCCAAATTTCCCTATTGCTATCCAAAGCACCGCAATCCTTCTAGTCACACAGGCTCACAACCATGCTGGAATTTTCTAGTTCTCACTGTCCAGTCTTCCTACACTTTACTCCCTTCTATCCTCTCTATAGCTACACCGGCCCGCTTGAAGTTAAACATGATAGTCCATCTCTTGGCTCTGTGCCTTGTCATTGGCTATCCCAATGCCTGCAGAGGTGGGGAGACGGAGAAGAGTGTGTGAAGGGGAACAACATTAAATATAGCTAGAAAAGTAGGTTGGACCCAGATTGTGGAGGGATTTCAGTTCTAGCCCGACTTTTACTTTTATCTTGGAAACAACAGGGAACTACTGAATATTTTAAAATAGAGTAGTGACATCATTAGAACTATGCTTTAGGAAGATGATGTTGGCAGCAGTGTGGAAAGTGTATTTGAAAAAGAAAAGACAGGAAAGAGGGACCAAATAAGTATGATACTGTACAAGACAGAATAAGATAAGGTAAAAAGGACATACAGACAAAGGCATCCAGAAAAAAAACTGAGGAAGGACAGATCACTTTCACATGAGGGGGATCAGGGACAGCTTCACTGGAGAATGTGGCACCTGATCTGGGCCTTGAAGAAAGAGAGATTTCGATGTCCAGAAATGAGAAGGCTTTTGAATAAAGAAATGCCACGATCAGATGTATTAGGGAGATCATTTTGATAGCTCCATGAAGGATGAGTTGGAGAGATGAGTAATTGAAGGCAGAGGGATCATGGAGACTATAAATTTCTTGAGGGCAGTTAAGACCTTTTTTGCATGTCTATTACTGACCATCAAACCACCTTCCTTCTCCATCTATATTATTTCTTGAAGCATTCAAAAGTATCCCTAAAACTTGAGGCTAACTGGGACCTCCAGAAATCTTTAGTGTTGGAAAAAAATTATACCCAGACCAACCTAGATAGATGGGTATTTAGCCTTTTCTTTTAAATATTCAGGGAAGGACATTCCAGAGCCTCCCTTAATTTCCTGTTCAAAGATCTATCAATCTAGATAGAACAATAATTAGCCTGCTCAGAGTTTACTGAAAACCAAACCCAAGCTTAAACTTGTAACAAAACTCAACTCCATTTGGAATCACAAGACAAATTATTGAAGCCTATTGAAAACTGAGAGGTAAGATTTGTCCTCGTAAGAGGTAGAAAACAAGGCACAGTGAAGTCAATCAAGCCCTCCCATCTTGTTTGACCCTAGCAGGAGGGTTCACAGTCACTGAACAGAATCAGAAGAAGGCAATCAGACATTATTTCAGTACTATACGAATTTCATTTGTGTAGATATCCCCATCACTGCTTAGAGTCTGACACTTAATAAAAATTGCTTGTTAATTTGGCTCCACCAATGCAGATCTGAAACTTCCTGCCATAATAGATGGTCTTTAAGAATGCCTGCAGCTGAAAAATTCATCACCCTCTGGCTAACCTTTTGGTGATGAGCCTCTCCCAACTAGGGTAGGTTGGTCTTCAGTCACAGACACACAGTTGGTCATGAGTCAAACTCAAACTCTTCCAGAGTGGTAGAATCTACGGGAGCTTGTACTTTCATGGTATAAACTTAGAGAATACGAGTTCACCAATCAAGAGGTACTGAATTGGGATGAAAAAGAAACTAACTGCAGTCATTCTTTACATAGCATATAGTCAGCTTGAAGAATGTCAGAAAGTTAAATACTATAGGAGAACAGCATAATTGTTGACCAAGTAACATCTAAAAATCTTACATATTAAAATAAAAATAACAAATTCTCATACTCCATGTTTTAAGCTCGGGTAAGAGTTAAGAATAGACTCCCTTTGTCTTATATACAGGTTTGCTCAATTTTCTGGGGCAGAATAGGGGCTCCTCTTCTGCCCCAACTTCTTATGAAGTATCATATAGTAGCTGCCAAAAATGGTGGACTTACTAGTGCTCTAATGTGGTCCTAGATCCTGGTCCCCATCCTCAGGCCTCCATTTACTTCAGGTCTTCCCTAGCCCTTTGCTTTAGAATACTAAGAATCAGGTCAGCCCCTGAGCCTGGACAACACAGAAGCCCATCCAATGAGATGAATGTCTGTTTGTTTCCAACCTCTGGGAGAGGAAGGTTTACATTAGGGTGCAGAGGGCAAGGAAAATTACCAGTCATCTGATTACTGAGTCACAGACAGATCTTCTACAAATAGTAATATGCCAGTTAGAGGAACCCACTGTGGTAAAAGTAAGTGGAAAGGCCTAGAGTTTCAGGTCACTTCTCTCTGATTGGAACAACTAACTTAAGGATGGGAAACGAGAGTATGAAGAATCCATGGACGTTAGAAAATTTCTAATTGGCCACGGCTATCTAATATACAGTGTCACACACCATGTACACCTCTTTACAAACTCCCAGTTTCCCCTCCAAAAAAGCAAAGCAAATTGTCATGGCAAAACATACCTGGATCGAACTGAATCAGCTTAGATGGATTCACAGTGAAATCTTTTCCAATTGTAGCCGATACTTGGTTGACCTTAAAAAGGATGGGAGGGGGAAGGAGTCAGGGAAGGAAGGAGAGGGGGAGAGGGGAAAAGCTTTCTTTTAGTGATGTAAATTCAGATAAATTGGATAGGTTCATGTTTTCTGTGTCCTGCCTGCCCAAACCCATGCTGCCGGATTTGTTTTCAATATTGAGTTTATTCATTTTGTGTGTAGGCGTAGTATATTTTTAATGGAATCATTGAAGATTCTGGAGGCAAGAATCTTCTCAGAAGCTAATTTACTGGAAAATAGGTTCTTTTTTCTTTTCTTTTACAATGAGTGGGTTTCCTTAATAGAAATAAAATGGAATGAATTGTAAAAATATTTTTCTTTTCTTAGGTGTAAAATATAGCACCTTCTTACTTTCTTTCAAATTGCATTCTAGAGTAACCTCAAATAATATCTCCATTAAAAAAAAATTCTGAGAGGAACAAAGAGAATGGGTATCTTTTAACATGTCTGAATTGGAAGTATTTTTATCAGATGGTCCTTCCTAGTATTGTCTCCATTGCTTTTCTTCCCTCTTTATTTGTGATGCCCAAGCTCCCGTGGAACAATCTCTTATTGAGAAGTGGCAGGCTATTGTACACCTGTATTTACCATATGCTGGAGGTTCCATTACACTTGGGTCCCTGCATGAGACCTGCATGTGCAATTATCTAGTATTTACCACCATGGAGTGTGCAGAAGCTTATGTGAGAAAAGAAATAGGACAGATCAAGGCAGGTAGAGAGGTCTGTTAGATTAGGGAGAATGATTTAATCATATGCCAAGAGCATAGAATAAAAGCTCATCATCTTTTTCCTCCTTTTTTTGTCATATGGCCAATAATGTAAAGATGAAGTTTGTGTGAGCCTTGAATTCACACAGAAATACATGGTAGATTTGCCTCAGGAAAGAAGGACTGCAAACTCAGGCTGATGGGGAGTAGAGATCATGGCATAGTGAAAAGAAAACTACATCAGTAAAAATAAAACATAATAATAACTACTACATATTAGCATGTTGAAGTTTGCAAATATATTCTATGATTTGCCAAGAGAGTTTGTTTTAACTCATAGATCTGTCACACACACTAGCTATGTGAATTTAGGCAAGCCCCTTCACTCCTGTGATCCTCAGTTTCCATATCTGTAAAATGAGGGATTGGATTTGATGAGCTCAACTCTGACATTCTTCAAGTCTGATCCTACAGCTCATGATGTAGTTACTACTGCTTATTTAGTCAAAAATAGGAGTAAGTATAAAATCACATCAACTATTTCTATATTGGCAAAGTGGATAATGGCACTGGCAGAAACTCGGGAACATATGGCATTTTCTACACAGGCAGAGAAGAATATGTGAAAAGACAAAGGCACATCATCAGATATTTCTGTAAATAATCAACCGTACACGCATATGGAACATTATCAAATTTAAAGCTGGAAAGAACCTTAGAGAGCTTATCCAATCTCCTCATTATCCAGATAGGGAAACTGAGGCCCCAGGGAGGAGAAGAAACAGATCTAAGTTCATACAAATAATTAGTGGCCATGCCAAGATTTGAATCAAGGGCTTCTGAACCTTCTGAACCAACATTAACCATATTGCTTCTATGCTCTTGGCTATTTTAATGGATGAATGTTTATTATGTCAGTGAACATAGGAAATAAGCCTCTTTTTAAAGCATAAGCACCTCACCTTACCTTTTGGCCTTATTAGAAAATAAGTGTTTCATAGATACTTGATCTATTATAATCGAGGCTTAAAATAGATATGATTTCATAGAGCCTAATATTTGTCCTTTTCTCTAAAAGTGAGGTAGGGCAAGGATATTCTTGGTTTAATTTTGCCAAAGCTTCCTTTTTATTCTCTCTTTTTATTCCCTTAAAGGAATCTTATTTCATCCTGAAATAAGCCCTTCTGGAACACTTCCATTGTGAAAAGGGTTATGATTAACTATGATTAATTCTTGACTATCTATACTAATGAAGGGTGTTACAGATAATCAAAATAGCAGATATTCTGAAAATCATCTCTACTTGGCTTTGGAACGTTCCAAAAATGCACAAATTTGTGCAAAGTTCAACCTTCTAATTCTTTGTGGGCCTAGGCTAATATTAAATTATGATTTATTCTATGAATATATCAACTGAAGAAGGGGATGGTCTATTGTTGAATGAATGAATGGAGAGGAAGGTAGAAAAGAACAAGGAAGAAAGAAAGAGGGAGAAAGAAAAACAAAGAAAAAAGAAAGGAAGTAAGGAAGGAGGGAAGAAAGGAGGGAAGGGAGTGAGAAAAGAAAAAAGAAGAAGGAAGGAAGGGAGGAAGAAGGGAAGGAAATAAGGGAGGAAGGAAGCAAAGAAGGAAGAAAAGAAGGAAGAAAGGAAAGAAGGAAGGAAAGAAAGGAAGGAAAGCTTTTAAGTGTGTTAGGTGGTAGGAGGAAGCTAGTTTGGGATTAAAACTTCTTACATATAATCCACAAATTAAATAATACATAGAATTCACTGTGCCTCATTTATGTAATTTTCTTTACTCCTATTAGTCTTACTGGAGCAGGAGGGAAATAAGCTTCTATTTCTAAATCATATGTTGTCAGTGAACTAATCCTAACTATATGATTATGAAATCAAAATTCAAACTTTATGCAGATAACCACCTAAAGTTCTATAGGTGGGGTTCATTCAGAACACATTTCAGTCATATACAAATGAACATGAACAGAGGCTGGAATGACCTCAGAAGAATTCACCGTCAAAATCCCAGGAGTAGGGTGGAATGTGAATTCACATTGATTGTTTGGGAAGGTTTCCAGGTCACAGGAAGGTTTCACCAAGCACTTTCAGCAACCTTACACTCAGGTTTATAACTTTACATTTTAAAGTTACCTTTACTCCAACAAAGGCTGACTCCATAGAATGGCCTGTCCTGGTGATTTTCACTGGCAATGTGTTCACGTTTTCACACACCTCATATTCAGTCTGGGGCAATTGAATGTGGGACCATTTCAATTCCAAACTAGGTATGGAAGGAGGAAAAAGAAAGATATTCATGAGAAATGTAGCATTAATTCTTGCAGGTTACATAGGTTTTCCCAAGGATTGTGATATTGTGACCATTAATTCACACATAATCATAGTAGGTATAGTTCAGCATATAGTTCAGTAGCTGACATAGAGTCTTCCTATTGGTGTCCAAGCAGAAAAATATGGGGGAAATTATGGACAGCCGATTTTTTTTAAACAAGTAACTTGGAACAGGAGTTTGGGTTTGTTTTTTCTAATATTTTCTCCTTAAGTCTCCAATCTGATTTCAGCATTTTCACTACCTGTTACCCTTCATTGTGACCCCCTCCTGCAGACTTGTAATCTTTTGTAGGTCATCAAAACTGGAAAGGACCTTAGAGATCACTTAGGTCAAATTTCTCATTTCACAGATGAAGAAACTGAGGGTTAGTGAGGTTAAGTAACTTGCCCAAGATCACACAGTGAGTTGATGGTCCGAACAGGACCTGAACACAGGCAGGTCCAGTTCTCTTTCCATTGTACCTGCTACTGACTTCCCTTTCTCATAAACCTATAGGAGGCCACTGTTGCCTCCCAGATCTTCCAATAGCATCCAATCTCTGTTTCCCTTCCTCTTCTTCATCCCATTATTTCTGCCTAGATCTTCCTTCTTAATTTTTCCTTACACTCCAGAAAGGCTGGTTACCAGTATCATAAACATAATGCTCTCAAATTACACAGGACTTTCCCTGATTTCTAAGAGGGAGTTAATTTCAGAAGTTGTGTTAAAGCAAGGCTATTATCAAAGTCTAATAATACATCATAATAAACACATCATACTAAAATTTGAAGACTTCCACAGCCACATAAATACTTCTCCTGAAAAATAAACTCTGTAACTTTTGCAACTCAAGATGGGTTTTTGATGCAAACGAATTCAAATCTGGCATGAAACAAAACAATATGAGAAGCAAAGAATCCCTAAGCTTGTAGAGTTCCGAGATGAACAGGTAGGAATGATGGTTACAATGCCAGTGGAAACAACATGAGGCAAACAACCCCTGTCAGGTTGAGAGAATGAGGAGAAGGAAGAAAATAAATACTGGCAAGGAAAGCAAGGAGAAAAGACAGAAATAAGACGAATGAAAGGCAGAAAGGCACCTTAGGGATCATCTAATCAAAATCCCTCATTATACGGGTGAGGACCCTGAGGCTCAGAGTCTGTGATTTGCTAAAGGTCAGGAATGTCAGTTGGAGAGCCAATACTTGAAATCAACTCCTCTGACTCCAATCCATTTTTTTTCTTCCAAGGACAGAGAAGGAACAAAGAATGAAAAGGAACAGATTTGGACAGATTTCAACAAAGTCTCAGTAAGTTATAAATGCCTCTCAATATTGAATTCTTTCAGGAATCCATTCCTTACTAATGTTAACCACAGCTTCTTTAATGGCAGTCTGAACAGCCAAGTGAGTACCCAGATTCTTACTTAAATTCAGAAGGGTACAACCACCAAGTTACTTTGCTCTGTGGGCCTCAATTTACTTCTCCATAAAGAGAGGGGTTTGGAGTCGATGACTAACCATAAATTGTTGGAATTTAGAGGCCAGCAAATCCAACCCCCTCATTTTACAAACTGAGGCATAGATTGGCTAGTAGACTTTCCCAGAGTTGTACAACCACTGAGGATTTGAGGCAGGATTTGAACGCACATGCTCCCAACTCTAAATTTGACACTCTATCTGCTAGCAAACCGCTTCCTGTTTGCTTTTCCTGCTTCTAGTCTTCCCCCCTCTCTCATCCATTCATTCATTCATTCCATAAACATTTATTAAGCACCTAATATGTGTCAGGTACTGTGGTAAGTACTGGGGATATAAAGAGATGCAAAAGACAGTCCCTGCCCTCAAGGAGTTTACAAGCTAATGGGAATAATTCCTAAAGTACTTGACCTGATCCTATCAAGAATCTTCTGTGACGTCCTTTTGTGTCTAAGTTAAAACACACATTTCTCAGTTCACCATTTAGAATCCTTCCCAATCTGACTCCAGATTGTGTCACACCTTTCCCGATTTGCCACACTTCATACACTCTGGCCAAAGCGCCTTCCTTGTTCTTTCCTAACCTTGGCAAATTCAGTTCTCACCATCCTGCTAGTTCTGGTAGCATCTTTAGCTTCCTTTAACTCAGGGTGGTGGCTGCCTACATTTTGCAGTCTTCCCTGATTCCCCCAGTGTTTCCTCCTTCTCAAATGTGCTTAAACTTACCTCCTTGTTTATGTGTTAAATCCCCCAGACGCTATTTTTTGCTTTTTGTCTTTCTATCTAAAGTGACATGCGCTTAGGGGTATTTAATAAAGGTTTGATGGATTGAATTCAATGATTCTATGAACTTAAGCCTTTGTTAGGTTTGTGGTAGATAACAGTAATAATAACCATTAGAATAGCTAGCATTTCCACGGCACTTTAAGGTTTGCATAACACTCTACAGATATTCTCTCATTTGACCATTACAACAATCCTGGGAAGCAGGTGCTATTATTAACCCTGTGTTACAGATGAGGAAACAGGCAGACAGAACTTAAGTGACTTGTCTAGACTCATATAGCTAGTAGAATTTGAACTCAAGTCTTCCTGGTTTCAGGTCTAGCTTTCTGTCCTCTGTACCACATAGCTGCCTCTAGGGATGACACCGAAACATTCTGATATAAATGTAAAGAAGACAAATAATATAACTGAAGTGAACTTTCTTTGTCCATTTGTATCACTTCTAATATAAACATTATCTACGCATCTTCCTCATTGTGTCTAAATCCTTCTAATAGATTGTAAGTTTCCTGAGGTAGGGGCTGCTACTCTTTATGTTTTAATTTCTAGTACCCAAAACAGTTTAAATGCCTAGTGTACTTTGGTGCATTTCTGAATTCATGTTTTCATCATAGCATCATAGATTTAGTGCTCGAAAGGTCCTTGAAGGCCATCTTCTCTAACCCTCCCATTTTACACATGAGGAAGCAGAAACACAGGTTAAAATACTGAGCTGTCTAGAGTCCCACAGCTAATTAAGTGACAGAGAGGTAGAAATGTTGGATTTTCAATTCTTTTATACATCCATTTATATCATAAGCGCTTACTGGATATTTACTAAATTGAATGACACATACAATACTCGTAGTTCATACTATACTGTGAACATTTTTGCTCATGTTTCTGAACTAAAGAATTTTGAAGAATGGCTCCTCAGGAAATTATTCATAGGGTCACAGCCTAAAAGTTGGAAGGGACCTAAGAGATCATCAAGTCCAACCCCTCATGTTACAGATAAAGAAACTGAAGCAGAGAGACGTTAAGTGATTTGCCCAGGATCACAGGGCAAGCAACTGTCCGAGGTGGAATTTTAACCAACGTCTTAGCGACTCCAAATCCAGCACTCAATACTAATCCACACTCACTACTCCTTATATAAATGAACAACCTGCAGAGAGGGTTTTTTTCTTGACAAATGCATGTGCATGTCAAGAGTAAACCATGCAGGTTTAGGCAAAGAGTCTCTTTCTGGATTTTCCATTCACTGAAACACATTCTTGTACTTATGTCTGTGATTAGTTTATACAAATGTTAGATTCTGATGAAAGCCACATTAAAATAAGGGAAAGATTTGCTTGCCATGACTAAAATGTTAATTTGGGATTCTAAGTCATGGGTCAAAAGTGATTGTGTACAAATTATTTAACCTTTCTATGCCTCAGTTTCTCCATTTTCCAAAGTTTATTTAACCTTCTACTTCAAAGATTACATGAGGCTTAGTTAATGCTTATTAAGTACCTTGAGATTCTCAATGAAAGGTCATGTGAAAGCATATATTATAATTCTCATAAATACTTGTGCATTTATATGCAAGATGTGTATGCCTTAAGGATAAAGTTGGAACTTTAAAATAAAAACAAAAAGCCCTCACAAAGTATTTGATATGCGTTGGTATATCTATTGAACCCTATATTCATACAGAGTCAGCTCTTGACTTTTCCCAGGAATGCGGACCAGAAATCAGAAGGGATAATTGCTATCCACGGATAATCCAAAAGCTTTATTTTAGACTAGGGTTTCAACCACCTGTCCTGCCAGAAGTTTTGTAAGAGTTTCTAAAATGTTTTGAGATACACCAGTTTGATTTCCTTTTTCCTTTCACTTCCCCTGGTAGATGGCTGTCAATATTTTTTTTTAAAAGCAACCTGAAAGAAAAGAGTCTAAGATTTCATTTATTATCCGGCATCAGATAATCAGCTAATGAATCATCAGATTTGTACATGGATCATTCCTGACTTTAGCCAGAAATTGAACTCAAAATCTAGCAGAATGGTCCTAGTCATGCTTCCTTCTAATTCCATGTGATTGATATATGAAAAAGCATTAGTATTGGGTCAAAGGATGTGAGTTTGAACCTTGGTTCTGATCTTTATTATCTGCATGGCCTTGGACCAGCCACCTAACCCTTTGGTGCTAAACATTCCTCATGTGTATAAAGAAAGGGATGATTTTGTTGAGTATGTTATAGTAGAGATTCCATTCTGATATGGGTTGGACTGGATGGTCATTGAGGTCCAGACCACCTTTAAATTCTAAATCCAAGACCTAATAAATTCTCATCTTGAGGTGGTGGTGTTTTGTTTTTTTTTTAAAATAGGTCTTAAATACTCAATTTGATTATAATACAGATAAACCCTTCTGAGCTTTATCAAAAGGATGTAAACTTCCATGTAGAATCATTAACCAACAAGGTCTGATAGCTTTATTTAAGCAAAATTCGCCTTGATTTCAATATAATAAAATCAACCCTTTCCATTATACCACTAACTCATTGGCATTGCAGAATCAGGCCCCCCAGACATTCCCTACTGCACGTAAATCCTTCCCTTTCTTTTGAAAGCTCCCTGGCATCCTTGTTTTTTTTTTTTTTAAATACTTTTTTATTCTAGCTTGTCTCCTCCAAATCCCTTCCCCTTTAATTAGAAAGGCTGTTTACTACATCATGTCTTTAGAATGCTGATGTGGGCACTGCTTCTCCCCAAAGGAGACAAATTTCAGTAGCATCTACACGTTGCTGTGATTATTAGCTATGTGGATTACACCCTTTGTATATTAGTCCCTAGCAAATTTTTAATTAGAGGTGGGCTTCCTCCCGCCACTCAGTGCTTCTGACAGTAATTCTCCCTTCTGCCTAGATCTAATCCTGACACTCTCCTGCTCAGAAATCTTCCGTGGCAGACTATTGCCTACCAAGTCAAACTCAAACTCCTCCTGGGTTGGAAAGCCCTCTACTCTTTGACAGGACCTGTCGAGACTTATTATATATCACTCCCTACACATACTCGCCTCTGTTCCCGGAACAAAAGCTGCCACAGTGATGTTACCAACCCTGTTGCGTAGGCCTTGAATATACTATTTTTTTTTAGTGAATTATTTTCCATCTTTTTAAGTTCAATTCAATTAAAGAAATGTCTATGAAGCTTCTTTGGCTTAACCCCCTCCCCAGTGGCAAAGACCTTTCCCTCTCAAACCTCTCTTATGCAATATTTTTCTTTGTATCTCTCCAATCCACTCATCATATAGCATTTCATGTTATACTTTATTGATGGGTTTGCTCTGCATACAATGGATGTTAAATAAATGTTGGTAGATTTGAATTGAGTTGTTAAATGCTTGAAAGTTGAGGCATTCCTTGACTTTCGAAATACCTGACTTACAAATGCTCTTTATGCAAGAGCAGCCAATACGCAGAAGAGTAAGGTATTTTTCTCAAACGATATGGTTCCTATCTTGCTCCCAAATGGGTGGCCAGCAGCTGTAGGGGAGGAGAAGAGGTATGTTCCCAATGCCATCCTATTCTTTCCTTGCCATGCACAGCAAGCAGAATGTACTTCTGAATATAAATACTATACACTGGCAATGAAAAATAATAGAAACAAATATGGTTGGAGACATTTGGTATTTCTGCTACATTAGAGGTTAAATAGACTTTAGGGTGTTTGTGTGGTAGCACGGAAATAGAGCTGGATGTGGACATAGAAGTTCTAAGCGGGAAGACCAGCTCTAACCCATTACCTAGGTGACCCTGGATAAGTCACTTCACATACTTCTCTGGGCCTCACTTTCCTTTTCTGAAAAATGGGAATAATACTATTTGTTCTTTCTCCTTCATAGGGTTGGCTAATGAAAGTGCTTTGTAAACCTTAAAGAACCATAGGAATACGAGTTGCTATTAACTCAGGAGCCTAACCACCTTTTATAATATCCTTTCTACGGGAAATTATGTCTGTCATTCTAAACAAATAACTCATTGACAATTTTTTTTTTAAGTTGGAAACTGCCTACAGTTTTATTTAAAAATATACACGTACACACATACATTCCCCTCCTCCCAAGCATTTCTTAAATCAAACATACATATATACACATATACACACATACATACATACATACATACATACACACACATATACAATTAGGTAGGAAAATCTCTCATTTTCCATCACTAAGGTTTTACTTGTTGCAGACAGTTGGCTAGGGGCAGTTCCACCATGTGACACCATAGGTACACATTACTGTTGATTTGGGTTAGGTATAGACTTTATTTCTCTACGATTGTCTATAGAGACATCTCCTGGCAGATCCTGAGATTGCAAGTCATGGTTTGAATGCTTTTCCGAAAAGAAAAGGGGGTGGAGGTGGGGGGCGGGGGTAGTGTGGAAAAATACTGCAGTCACTTGAACTAAACAAGGACATTTTTTAGACCCTTCTTTCCTAGAGGCAGATGATCACAGTCCTCTGTTCTCTGACAGTCAATGAAAGAACCTGGGACAAATGACTAGAATTGGTTGGGATAAATAATTACCATGAGAATTTTTTTTTTAAGGCAAAAGCAACCGGGAGGTGGCAGTCAAAGGGTCAAACTTGAGGACCTAGAGGGCCACATGTGGCCTCGCGGCCACATATTCCCCACCCCTGCTACAGACTTAAGTAAGTGATGAAAAAAATGTTAATAATACAGATTAAATGTTAATTAAATGTTAATAATGCAGATTAAATTTAAAAGTGTAATCATGTTCTCAGAAAGCTGACTGTTAAACATTACTAACATACCTCTATCTGTGTCTATCCCTCTTATACTAATTGTGTATATATCTAGCTCCTCTCCTCCCATCATATTATTATAATGTCTTTGAAGGCAAGACTTGTGTCATTTCTTAATCTTTCCATCCCCAGTGCTGAATAGGCCCTTTAAAAATATTGAGTTAATTAAATTAAATCAGTCAATCAACTAAAGAGCTTTTATGAATTGTCTACTATATGCCAAGCACTAAACTCGGCTCTGGGCATACAAAGACAAAAGCAAAAAGTCCATGCCCTCAAGGAATTTATAGTCTAGCTAGAAGTACAACATGTAAATATTTTGGCATATACAAAAGAGACATAAGACAATTTGGGGGGAAGGCACTTGTAACTGAGAGGACTGAGAAAAGGTTCACGTATAAGGTGGCAGCTGAGCTGAGTCTTGAAGTAAAATAGGGATTCTAAGAGGTGGAAGTGGATGTGAAGAAGGAGTACATTCCAGGCATGGGGGTCAAGCCAATGTAAAACCATAGCAATGGAGTGTCACGTATGAGGATCAGCAAGAAGGCTAGTTTGGCTAGACTGCAGAGCATGTAAAAGGAAGCCATAAGTAAGAAAGCTGGAACAGATTGAGGCTAGATTGTAAAGGACTTTAAATGCCAAGGAGGACTTTACATATTCAATCTTAGGGGCATTAGGGAGCCACTGGAGTTTATTGAGTAGGGGAACAACATAGTCGTACCTGTGTTTTAGGAAAATCATTTTGATGGCTGTTTGCAAAATGGATTGGAATGGGGAAAGACTAGAGACAGGGAGATCAATTAGAAAATTATTAAAATGATCAAAGCGAGAGGAGATGAGGACTTGATCTAGGGTGGTGGTTGTGGGGAAAGAAGGGAATGTATTTGCTATGGAGGTAAAAATAGCAATATTTGGTGACTGAATATTCAGAGTAAAAGTAAGGGGTTGAGGATGATTCTAGGGTTGTGAACTTTGGTAACCTAAAAGATGGGGAAATTCGAAATGGGGTAGTTTAGAGGGGAAAACATGAGTTGTTTTAGACATGTTGAGTTTGAGATGGTCCAGTAGCAATTTGTGCTAGTAAGACTGGAGCTCAAGACAGAGAACAGATCTAGAGATGCAGATCTGTGAGTCATTTGCATGAAGACAATCCTTAAAACCATGTAAGCTGATAAGGTCACTAAGAAAGAGTGGAGAAAGATGAGAAGGTCCAGGGCAGAGCCTTGGGGTATACCCATAGTTAGGAGGTATGACATGACTCACGACCAGCAAAGGAGACTGAGAGTAGCAGTCAGACAGGTTTGAGGAGAACCAGTAGCAACGTCATAAAAAACCCAGAGAGTAAAGAGTATCAAGAAGGAGAGGATGGTCAACCATGTCTAATATTGTAGAGAGGTCAAGAAAGAATTAAAGAGTATTATTTTCGTTAGCTCTGAGGGAGACAGTGGTTTGTTGTGGCTGAATCATATCAGTCATATCCCACTCTTTGTGACCCCATTTTGGGGTTTTCTTGGCAGAGATACTGGAGTGGTTTGCCGTTTCCTTCTCCAGATCGTTTTACAGATGAGAGACTGAGGCAAACAAGGTTGAGTGACTGGCCAGATTTGAACTCACAAAGATGAGTCTCCCTGATTCCAAGCCCAGTGCTCTATCTCCTACACCACCTAGCTGTGTGATGTTACCTACATTCTAAATGTCATACTTTTTAAAAAAAAAGTCTATTCATCCCTCTATTTTTAATTCCTTTCAACTCTCACAATACCCTAGGTCACAAAAGCAGTGCCTGGCTATTGTACTTGATTTTATTTTGGGGGTAGAGAGTTTGTCAGGGGAAGAAGGAGGGAAGCTTCTGTCAAATGGGATAAAATGCTGTCAAATAGGCCTCGCTAAAAACCGTTAAATACATAAATTAAAATATATTTATAGCATGATGTACAATGTCTCATTTTCCCCTTCATTCTTATTGGCCTGGGTATTTTAGAAAGACTGTAATTACCATAGTCCTAGAGTGACCTCTTGCTGCAAGATGTTATACAAGAGATTGGCTGACTCATAATTCCAAACTCTTATGTACTGCCAAGACAAGAAGATCCTAGCCATGGGGGTGGGGATGCATTCATATTTATGCATGGCACAAACCACTAGATATAACTTAATGATTTTTATGTCTCTTTACTTTGGAGAGCGAATGGTCTTCCTGCTGTAGGATAATAATAAAAAGGAAACCCCTTTTTACTGCTTTTCTCCACATTTCCTTGGATATGCTATGGAATGAACTGTTGAAACTTAACCTCTCACCTTAAACCTTTTGATCTAGTTCACCGAAATAGACTTCAAGTTTTATAGGCATCATACATGACAGGCTAACCTACTTAATACGAAAACAAATTACGTTTGAGGGGCAGCAGTATTTCCACTGGGGTCTGTGACTTGAAACTCCAAGTTATCCGAATTCATTTCCGACAATGGATTGATGACATAAAGAATGACTTTACTGTTTAGGTCCTTTTGACTGAATCTCTCTTGAATAAATTCACCTGAAAGTAAAGAATAAAGGAATTTTACACATTGGTTCAATAAGAATTAATAAAATGATATGGTTACTTGATTTTATGACAAAAATGTATTAAAGATCAATAAAAGAGGGAAACTGTGATCTAGTGGAAAGGGCCCTGGATTGGAAGTCAAAAGATCAGAGTTCTAATCCTAGCTCTGCCATTTATTAGTTGGCTGACTGTGGAGCTTTGTAAACCAGAAAGAACTACGGAAATGTCAACTACTGTTGTTGTTATTAACATCAATTTTCAAGAAGTTCCTACTACTTCAAGGACCATACATCAGACACAGAACTAATGCTTTAAAATTTTCATCATAATGTTCTGGGTTCCTGATGTCTACTACTGGTAATTTTCACTGGATGTCCCCCATGCCTGGAATTCTCTCCCTCTTCATTTCTGCTTCCTGGCTTCCTTAGCTTCCTTTGAGATCCAGCTAAAATCCTATTTCCTGTAAGAAACCCTTCCCTGTCCTTCTCTCTCTTGATTATTGTCAATTTATCCCATATATGTCTTTTATATATCTTGTTATTTACATGTGTCTCTCTCCTTAGATTGAGAGAAGGGATTGTCTTTTGCTTTTCTTCATATCCCCGAAGCTTAGCACAGTGCCTGGCACATAGCAGGCATTTAATAAATGTTTGTTGATTGACTGAGTCTCATTTCTTTGCCTCAGGAAAATTTTGCCTAGAGATCACTTTTATAAAAAGCAGGGCAGGAAGGAAACAGAAGGGTGTAGTAGAAAAATCTGCAATTCTGTGGCATTAGTATCATAATTCTCTGTGGCTTAGTACTTTGTTGTCTCTACAAGGTTAGAGGCTATTGGAAAAATCATCAGGCAACTAAAAATGACATTTTAAAATGAATTGACATCATTTAGAATTCATGATAGAAGTGCAAATAAGTCACAAACATGAATTTAGGTCTGACAGTGTACCTTACTTGGTACATATTACAATCTGGCCTCTGAAAAAGTTGTAAACAATAAACAGCTGTGACTCTGCATTTGTTTTTTCCATTCAAGATGGATTAGGGAAGCTTGACTTGAAACCCTCTTTAGTCCTAGTATTGATTTATAAACTGCATCTATCACAAAGCCTCAGGGACTGTTTACCAAATGGTCATGCACTTAATTAAATTACTCTCTAACACTCCAATCCTTGATGTGAGCCACTGGGTATTTTAAAATGAGCAATTAGAAGGATTGAGAAACCCGGTACCTGTTGTTGTATTTTCCAGATGTCCGTACTGGGGGCCTCGTAAAATCTTAAAGATGATTTGGTTGTCCTCTGTATCAGGGTCAGATGCCTTCAGGACTCGAGATGTTATGTAAATCCCATAGCAACCATTTTTCAGAAGCTCCACTTGGGAAGGGTACTTCAGATGTATGAGACGGGGAGCCTTTTTATCCAACTGGTCCACCTGAATTAGTATAGTTAGTTACATGGATATTTCCTGACAGGCTACATTCATGGCTCTAATAGTTTATAAGATTATAAGCTTCATCAGAGCAGCAACTGAATCTTATCTCAAATTTTTTATCTTCTTCTCTTCCCTTTCTCCAACACTTGTCTAGCAAAGCTTTCTTTCTACACACGGAACACAGAAGTGTTCGAAATATGTTGACTGAATGAGTACCTGAATGAATGATAATACAGATAACTATGAAGCATCTTTTATTCTAAGGTGCTGGATCATTCCTTCTCAATTTCTCCTTCCAAAGACCAGGAAGGGGTTGGGGAACATAAAAGGAATACAGATGTCTACTTGTTCCTGCCTTCTAGGTCTGCCTTCCTTTCCACATGTTAGCTCAAAAAGGAAAAATAAAAGGTGGTTTATGTAGTTTGCATGTTTTGTTATTTCTAACTGGTTACCTCATTGGATGGAACTTTCTTTTAGTATACCTTAATCTACAGTCAGAATTCAGCCCTAACCCTGGCCAGTCATATTGCTTTAGGGATATGAAAAGAGTAGGGTGAGAAGAAGTGGGGGCAAAGTGTGGCTGTATTAGCCAAAAATTCATAACCAATATTGGGTTAGGAGCATCACATTAGGCCCTCCCTGCCTCTAGATTCCCTCATATCGCAAAAATACTATAATCAAATGAATATTTGTTACAAGGGTTTTGCTTTCTCTCTTTTTTCAATGGGAATGGCAGAGCATAGGTGGGGGGAAAAAGAAAATAGATTTTTTTTTTCACTAAAAATTTTAAATTAAAAAAACAAAACAAAAAACAAATCACGGAACCACACAAAAATACTATAGTCAACTTAATATGCCAAGCCCAACAAGGCACTGGCACATATAAGCAAATAACAACAGAGTAAAAAAATATATACTAGTACTTCTATAATTGTGAGGGTTAGAAGAAGGAAAGCTTTTGTGGTGGGTGGGAAGATAGCTTGTCATTGGTAATCTCCAGGGATATTAGAGGTAATGGGGGATGGAAAAAGGGACAAAAGAAAAGGAGAATATTAGAGGGGGGGAAACCCCTGAACATAAAGAGAATTGATAAAGAAGATAAATACAAATTGAGTAGACCTCTTCTTTCTTTTGCTTTATATCCCCTCATTATCATTAATAATGCCTCTTGGCATTTACTGAATTTCATGTCCTGGATGACACATTTCTTTAAAAATGAATCTCCAGGTATAATATGCTGCAGGCCTGGATGTATAACATGCCCAGTTAAAAATATTTGAAAACAAGGCTTTCTTTGGAAGCCTGTATCCTAGTGATGACTCATGTTGGCTTGCCTGGAAATCTGCACAGAAATGCCAAATCCAGAGAAAGCAGCTATGTAGTGTGTGTGTGTGTGTGTGTGTGTGTGTGTGGTGTGTGTGTGTGTGTGTGTGTGTGTGTGTGTGTGTTGTGAAGGATGACTACAGGAATCAGTTATGGCATCTGAAAAAGACAAATACAAAATGCCTATAAAAGAATGTGTGGTTTTAAATGCCAGTATCAGTAAAGTACATTTGTCTCTTCCACTTGGCAAATCCATCAAGTCTGCCCTCAGTTAAACTGCTCCTTCAAATAAAAATCCACATTCTGAACTCTGTGAAGGCAGGGATCATACTTTAATTAAACTTTGCATTTCCCTTGCACTTAGTAAAGTGATCTTGAAATGTTGAAAAAATGAGCAAATAAAAGAATTAATTCATTCCAGAGTCCAAAAGATGAATTTGGACCACATACATCACTCACTGGTGGGTGTTACTTTTCTACTCGGCCAGAAAAAAGTCTATAAAGTCAAGAGACAATTGCAGAATCCCACAATTAGAAGAAACTGTAGGGACTGCCTGGTCCAACCTATACCTGAACAAGAATCCTTCATTCCTAGCAATTAGCAAACTGCCTGGCACATGGTAGGCATTTGCTAAGTGCTTGCTGCCTATCCTTCTTAGTCTCCTTTGTTGGATCTTCATTCAAATCATATCAACTAACTCTGGGTACCTCCTAAACCTCTATCCTGTCTCCTCCTCCCTTTGCTCTATACTATTTCACTTAGTGATCTCATCAGTTTCCATGGGTACAATTATCATCTCTACGCTGATGATTCCTAAATCTATATATCCAGCCTTAGTCTCTCTTCTGATCAGCAGTCACACATCCCCAGCTACCTCTTGGATACCTAAAATTGGATGTCCTGAAGGCATCTCAAATTCAACATGTCCAAAGTAGAGTTCATCTTTTCTCCCAAACCTTCCTCAATTCCCAACTTTCATATAATTGTCAGGGCCACCACCGTCCTCCTGGTTTCTTAGCATCCCATGATTTTGGGGAAATATCTTTTCCATTTGGACTCTGTGCTATATATTCTTCATGACAGTGAAGAAAACCTTTGGTGAGTATGCATCACCCTGTTTTATTCCTCCCTTGACAACCAGAGGGACACTATTCAATTAATTTAAAATCTCTTTTGTTATACTTCACATAATTTTAATATGCCTGGGAAATAATATATTAGAGGAGAACCTTTAAATTAACATTGATGCTACTGAAATGAATGCTTTTTATGATCCATAACCAATAATCAAAATGAAAATCTTGCAATATCCCCTCTTTTCAATTGATTACATAACTATAAAACTCTGATCTGCTGTAGTAATATGTGAAAGCTCATCTGTTTCCTTCATCAAATATGCCTTGATGCATATGTAGCCTAGTCTCAGAAATTTTGGAGAGGCAGGAACTTGGGCATGTAAGTGGGTAGTTACTGATATTTTCTCACTTGCCTTAGGGGAGTAATAATATGGTCTTAGATTTTGGGGGAGAGAGGAAACAAACAAAATAAGAGTTGAGTATCTCCACCTCCTCTCCATCATCCATTTCGTTATCTTATCTACATCAAGTTCTTATCCTTCTTTGAGTTTCCTCTCCCCCCCCCCATGCCAAATAACTAAAAAAAATTTTGGTTGTTCTTAGCATTCTCCACAAGTCTCAGATCATTCCACTTTTCTTACAGGATTATTTTATTCTCCAATACCTATCCTCACTTTAATCTTGTGTACATTTCTTTTTAAAATCTAAATTGATAAGCAGTTTTCTGTGAATACACATATGTATAGTTTTAGACAATCTTTCCTTTCCCTTCTCAATAGAATTATTTTTATTTGTGCTTTAAGAATATCATTCTTAAAAGGGATCTCATTCATTGAGTTGACCTTCCCTGTAGAATTTTAGTCCATGAGATCCTACATATTTCCCTTTTTTGGATCCTTTAAAATCTGCTCTCTCCAAATCTATCATGCATGCCTGACCATTCCTAGCTTTCTTCTATCAGAAATTCTAAGATGAAGGGATCACTTTCCTCACAAACTTCCTATCAATTCCACCCTAACAACCAATTCTTCCTTGTTGGTAAGAATGAGATCCAGAATAGAATTTCCCTTTCTTGGTTTTCCCAAGTTCGGAAAGATGAAATTATCATTAAGGTAAGCCAAGAACCCATGTGTCTTGGATTGGGATGGTGTGTCTTAGAGGAGTTATTAGTAGAGCACACCTCTGGGTGGGCCTCATCAGTAAAGCCTTCCCCTGCATCAACACTGTCAACTTCATTATACCTCCTCCCTTTCCGTTATACACCACTTAATGATCTTTCATCCCCTTTCATCTGTCCTCCTTCTAATAAGTACTCCAAGGTTATCTTTACCCCCTTCCTGTCTATCCAAATCAAATTTTTTTATATACCAGTCTCAGGCAAGAATTAAACAAAATAAAGTCTTTCCTCTTCTCCCCAGCTGGAAGTGAGTGTTCCCTCCTTAAATTTGACTAAATTGCTTTGTCTAAAATTGTCCTTTTCTCCTGTCACATTCTACCTTGCATCATACTTCTTTCTATCCATGCCATAGTTTCCATATTAGATTGTAGGATCCTTAAGGGAAAGGATTGGTTGTTTTCCATCCTTCTAACCCCAGTGCATAGGACTTTGCTTATTTTTAATATGTATTTGTTGAATCAAATTGTTGGATTAGTTTTAAAACCTTCAAACTAAAGGAAAAGTCAAACTAAAGAAGGTGATACATATATATATATATATATATACATATATATATATGTAATAGTTTCCCCTTTGTAACATCAAAGGAACTCTTACATACCTAATGCATTCCTTTATTTTTTTCTTTTTTTCACATAGGGTAATGTGTGATAAAGGAGCATCTACTTAACCAAGGCTTAGAATGAATAAAATTGAGAACCAGGTTATATTTGCTGCTCTTTGACTAATGAAATAAAACTTGCATTAAAAAGCCCTAAATTCATTCATTCATCATAAATTTATTAAGTAGTAGTAGATTGCCCCTGTGGGTCGACATCCTCATAAGGATTTCTAAGTGTTGCCATTCATCCTGTAGCTATACCCTTGGGACCTCTGGTTCTTTCCATCCATTCTATGACTCCTATGTGTGCTGTCTTCTCCAATTAGAGTGTAAGCTCCTTGATATCAGGAATTGTGTTCCTTTTCTATTTGTATCTGAGCACTTAGCACAATGTTTGGCACATAGGAAGCATTTAATAAATATTTTTTCATTCATTTACATGTGTACTGTGCACAGCGCAAAATTGAGAGTGATGTAACCCCAACATCCATTATTGTTTACATGGATAATTCTCAGATCACCGAATGTTTTCTTCAGAAACAGACCAAAAGCTCATAAAATGAAAGGCTATGTTCCCATGTTGGATTATACAATAAGACAGGGAAGCTTTCTTTTTAACTGACATAATCCTGGACCTAGCAGGCAGTGATTGGAGGACTTTTCATACTTGCCTGAATAGTAAAGGACACAGGTTCATTCAACACTCTTCCATCCACAACAAAGCCTTGATTTGTCCTATCAGTAGCCATAAAGGTAAACTGGTCAATCTGTGAGTTTCCTCCCAGGTGCCTGTAGGCCACATTCATGTTGTCCACTTCTTCTTGTGTGAAATTGTATTGTGTGAGAACCATCCCCCGAAGATAGAGCTGTCCATGCTGGGGGAGCTGGGACAAGAGGAAGGTGAGGTTCTCTGTTGGAGTGTCTGGGTCTGAAAGTTGCAGGATGTCTGGAGAGAGGAGCGCCATGGCACTTTCTGTTATTCTTAACCCCTTGTTCCTGGTCACCACAGGCAAGGCTTGGTCAAAAGTCTCCAGTGTGATCTCAAACACTCCGTGCTTTGTCCTTAGTCCATTGCTCACGATGAATCTGGCAAAGAGAGGCAAGGTAGCCTTCAGCATGGATGCTTGTTTCACCATCTACTGGAATGAAATGATAATACACACCTTTACTGAAGTGTTTGCCTTGAAGTGACTCTAAAATGAAAAAAAAAAATCAAAGACTTCTTCTCAAAGGAAGCCTTCTCACTATTAAATTAATAGCCCCATCTAAAGAGTCTCATTCATTGAGGTACAGTGGAAAGATCAAAGATACTAAGTAAGAAAGTTTCAATTCCACACTATGATACCTTACTACTTGTGTGACCTTGGTGAAATCATTTAACCTCCTGGCCCTTGGTTTCCTTATGTGTAAAATGAGGGGGTTAAACCTAAATGGCCTCTGAGAACCCTTTTACCTCTAGATCTATTTTGATATGATCTATACAGAAAAGTATTTGTATAAATGTATAATGTACATGTATAGATGGGTGTTGAACTGAATGGAACAGAACTGAACTTCCTTAAAACATGTGAATATAGACTCATAAAATAGAGCATCTTGTCTGACCATGCTATTTTTCAGACTATTCTACCAAATGAATGAAAGATAAGCACCCTCATATCTTCCTAGTGAGGGTAGGGGTGGGGATGGTTGTGTTTTTGTCTCCTGGGTATTCTTAATAAACCACTGACAGACCTGAATTGGGGCTAAAACCAGAAAGGTAATAAACAGAGTCAATCTAACTAATCCACTGTTCTCACTGTATTCTAACCATCAAACTGAATTCATCTATAAACTCATTGTGGGCAAAAACCATGTTTAATCCTTACTTGACAAATATCTAGAACATGGAGAAAGAATTGGAGAAAGAATTGTATAGTGGACTAAATACTGTATGATTTTAGGTCAAGTCACTTATCCTCTGTGGACCTTGGGTTCTTCATATATATATATATATATAATTGGGATTCATAATATTTGATATTAAGTAATTATTAATATCAGATAATATTTGCCATGTTGACCTCATAGCAGTCTATGAGTCTATGGGGGTGCTTGCTATAAATCAGCTCAGCTAAACCCTCTGCCAGGGTAGCATGCCTTCATATTTCATAGACTTGGAATGAGAAGGTACCTTAGAGGCTATCTAATCCAACCCTCTCAACCAAAGACTCAGAGAAAGAAAGTGATTTGCCCAAGGTCACACACGAAGGAAGGGAGCAGAGCCAAAATCCAACCCCAAGTCCTGTGACTCCAAATTCAGTACTTGTTCCGCAATTTTTCATTCTTTAGCTCTCCTGGAACCTTCGACCCTGCTTTGGATTCACCCCTTTGGCTGAGTAGCCTATAAACTAATTGGTCAGACTCAAAAATTCTGATGATATTCCCCTGGAGTTTGCATGCTTTTGTTTTCCCTTAGATACAAGTCTTTCTTGCTGGAATATGCAGAGCTCCCACCTTAGCCAGCTTCCCATAGACCATGACAGGGCAAAGAAGCTGACCCTGGCCACCATTACTGCAACCTTTGATATTCCAATGGAGGTAGGATTTCATTGATTTAGGCAATCCCACAAAACATACAGATTGCAACTCAATCATTCCATCTCACCCTGTGCAACTCCTTACTTCCATGACTTCCTACAAATTCTCTACAGGACATTCATTGAGGATCTTTTTGATTTCTTTTGACATCACATATCTTCTCTGTATCTCTCAACAAATATCAAAGGCATAAATGAATGGTCCATCAGTCATACCATAAACTTGCTGATGACTAACCCAACCTTTATTTCTGGTGATGTATTTCTCTAATAAAATTCTTTATGACACTTTTCCTACATAATTACTAGTGGGGGTAAAGGATCACCACTTCCTAACATGCACTCTGCATCCCTCCATTGCTCTTTAGGTGACCTGAAAGCCTGAATCCTTTGGAGACTATGGAATTTCATGAGTTGGGCATATGACATCCCTAAAGGAATATTGGTGCTAAAAATAAGCCTTTACTTGAATGACCTCTAGCTTGCACAGAGTGCTGGACCTGGCGTCAGGAACACTTGAGTTCAAATACAGCCCCAGACACTTAGTGGCTTTGTGATCCTCAGCACGTCATTTTAATCTCTGTATGCCTCAGTTTCCTCATCTGTAAAATAGTGATAACACCAGCACCTACCTCACAAGATTGTTGTGAGGATCAAACGACAATATTTATAAAGTGCTCTGCAAATCTTAAAGCACTATATAAATGTTAGCAATTATTACTAAAATTTGGGGTTACTAAAGCAATTGCCTAATGGCATTCTTAACACATTTCAGTTAACTTGACAAGATTAAACAATATATTTTCCATGTATCTCCTTCTACTTGAAGGCTACCATTTTATATCTTTTATCTTGATAGTTTGACTTGGGCTCTCTGCTACAGGGAATGAAAGGTTGGCATTTGAACCAAAAAAATAACTAACAAAATCCTAGAAGGGCCAGTCCTGGGATCACTAAAATCTACTCTGCATCCCTGACCTTCTGGAGGTCACCAAGGTTTTTTTTTCCTATGTTATGCAGGCTGTCCATCTAAAACTCCTCTCACTGTCTGGCATCACTGCTTGATGATCAGGGTCTGACCAACTTGTAAACAGGCACTCTGCCATCAGACAGATGGGAACAAGCGTAGGCAGGCCAGAGACCATATATGAGTAAGAAATATGTTTACTGAGGACCGTATTCCCAGCTGGGAGCACCAAGGCAGCTGTCAGAGCTGACCTCAAGCTCATGTGCCAACAGTGAGAGAGATGTGATAACTAACATTGCTAGGTCAAGTATAAAACTATGATGATACAAGTGACGGTGAAAAGTCTCCATGAACCAAGAATGCTATTTCTCTTACACCAAGATAGGTGTCAAACGTGTCTAAAGTAACATGTACAGTCAACTCATTCCCCATTATTAATTTTAAAAAATTTTAAATCCTCCTCTTTCAGTGTCTATAGATATAGTGGGGAAAATCTGCTCAAATTACAGCATAAAGTAATGAAAGTGAGATGAAACTGCAATACAAGATTTGATCACGGGATCACAGGATTGGACCTAGAACTCTAGACAGGGGTCATTTAATCCCAGCCACTTATTTTATGGACGAGGAATCTGAGGTCTCAATCCATTTTTATCTCCCAGTGGTTTCCCAGTGACTTCAAAGAATAACCCCTAAACACATTTAGGAAGTTTCAAAGCAATAAAGCAGGTGATTAAGAAAATTATCTTCCTTTCTCCAGGAAATGTATTGGTTGGTGCCATCAAGGCAGCATCTCTTTCTATATGGCCATTTTATTTATTCCCATTCACTATTCATCCTCCTCTCTATCCCCCTAGGGAAAGAGTCAGCAGCCAAGCTTACCATCATTCTCATGAAATCTGGGGGATGAATCTCAGATTTAGTTAGGGTTTGTGGCATGGTTTGATATCACCATTACCATGGTAAAGCGTTCAAGCTTTCTACATTTCCTTGGCAATGGAATTGGCTGAAGAATCTGCCATCTGTCATGGCATTTAGAAGATAAAAATGGAATCATAAACAGAGCCAGCTTTAAAAAAAAAAAAGGAGTAGAGCCTGCATGTCAAAATGGAGGACATTAGCATGTTCTTTTAGCGCCTGGCTGCCAGCATCTGCAGTCAGGTTGCTAATCACTCGGTGTCATCTGTCCCAGCGCATGCTGCCAAATCTTTCTTCCAGGCCAGCAGCACCAAACAATGCAGGAGAAATTTATGATTCAAAAAATATTTTTGCAGAAGGCAAAATCTGATCATTAAATTCCCCTATTTAATTAATGTTGCCATTCCTTACGCTAAAAAGGAGATGAGGGGGGAAAAAAACCTTAAACTCTCTGCCACAGAATTTATCTCCTCTACCCATCCAAATTCCTTGCCAAATTCTAACAGCAAGCAGAATAAATTTGGGTGATTAGACTAGTTGCATATATTTAATTTTTAAAAAGCATCACCATCATACTTTCATTAAAACAGGCTTTCAGCTTTGGTTTAGTGCCACTTGACAAACAGCATGGCGGTGCACTATTGGGTTAGTGAGACAACAAGATTAAAAATATGAGTATTGGGCAGATGCTAGACTCTTGCATTATAAATATGCAAGGTTACCAACCAAACATCAAAATGAGACATAGAAGGTGTTTCTTCAAATGATTCCATTTTAATTCTCTCTCCCCAACTTTAAAAAAAAACCATTATTGCCTCTGGCTATAGGGTAGATGCTACATCCTGGGCAAAAATGATAGGAGAGGAGTCAAGAAATTGAAATAGAATGAACAGAGAGCTATTTGCTCTGAGGTATTCTCTAACTCTAAACACAAATGATTTTTAGAGCTAGAACATAGAGATTTCTCTTGTTCAGCTCTCTTGTTTTACAGATGAGACAGCTAAGTGACTTATATAAGCAGTTACTTGCACAAGGTCACCCAGGTAGGGAATAATAGAGCTGGGATTGGAATCCTGCCCTCCTGACTTCAAGGTCAATATTCTTTCCCTTATGCCAGACCTCTATCTTAAAGCTCATATGGCTGCTGAGCCAACCATGGAAGTAACTTTTTTCTACATGAAAAGTTCATTATTAACTTCTAAATTTTGTAGATTTTTCTTATCCCAAAGACAACTATCTTTTCTCCTCTTTCCCCAACATCCTTCTCTCCCTCCCTGCTCTATCATCTCTTTCAACTCCCAATCTTTCACCCCCCCCAGCCCCTGACATACACATAAGTTCATTCTTTATACATCATTTTTCTCATTGCATAATTGAACCTAAATATAGTGTCATCTTTCCTTTGTCCACCTCAAGCCCAAAATTTGCAGGATCACAGGATTTAGAACTGGAAGGGATCTTAGAAATCATTCAACTGAATTCAATAAAAAAAAAAAAACTGAACTGTTTTCTTAATGTATCTCTCCCCTCCTCCTTCCAGACAGCCAGCCCTTTTAATCCAGAATTAATTAAAGAGGAAGAAAAGTTCAGCAAAACTAACCAGTATATTGAAAAAGTCTGAC